CTCCCTTTGTTGAGTATAACTCTTGAAATACGTTGTGTTATCTTATCTTGTCTTATCTTACGATCTGTCCTGTAGAGTGGACAATTTGTTGTGTATGAGCAGACAGCTTGGCGGAAAACTTGATGTCTGCACATATCAACAAGTAGGAATACAATTTGTTCTCTTCTGAGACTACGAAATGTTATGCTAAATTTGACTTATTCATTTCTTGATTTAATTTATCTATTTCGACTATGTTTTATCTTCGTGATTAAGTATTGGTTACCTTGATTAGTTCGTTTATCCTATCTTACCTTTACGTTATATTTTCTTGCTTTTGTAGATTCATCGTTTTGGACGTATCATAACTCATGTCCCGATCTCGATCTTATTATTACCTGATTTTGACTTTTTATACCGATTTTGACCTTCTATACCGATATTGACCTTTGGTGTTGTATGGTTTCGATCAATTTCTTTTTTTTTGTATTTTGGGTTGATTCATTAAAGGCTGTGTTTTGTTGAGTGTGTCAGGCCCCATTTTGTTGCCCTTTGTGCAGGTTTTATTCGGGAGGATGTGCGTCGGGGGGCGATTGGTTTGGTGGGCGTCTCAGAAACATCCTCACGATGCCAAACACCCCGTTGCTACTCCGTTACACCTCAGCCCCGCTCAGTATAGCTTTCTGACGGATCGCCGGCAGTAACACATCACGGAACACCCTATCTAAATTTGTTTTTTTTTCTCTTTGTTTGATCGAATCCTGGTGCCTTGAGTACCTTTCAGTCTGGTAGAACCATATCTTATCTCCATATAAAGGTGGAAATATGGGTTACAATTCTTATTATTGTTCTGTCCACCATCGGTTGGTCATGTCTGGCTTGGTGTACGGAGAGGTGTAATGGGGGCTCTGCCTTAGTTTCAGGATGAGATTGGTACCTGAGTTTATCCTCGGGCCCAATAAGGATGACGCAATGCCAATTTATCTGGTCGCTCAACATCAGTAGATCAGTTTCCATTTCGAAAGTATTTCCAGTGTACCCATTGCTCTTCTGTTGCTCTTTCTTGGCGTGATCTACCGGATTTAGTTTACTTAGGTTTAGAATATTTTTTTTGTTTTGGTGGGAATTTTTGTGTGAATTTGGATATTCTCTTTGATTATGATAATCAACTTGATTCTTGTTCCTATAGGTTCTTGGTAGCTCAACGTTATTAATTATCGTCGGTTATATACACTGTAGATACCCTCCTACTCCAAGGAGAGGGGGGGTTGTCACGAGCCAAAATCCCGTAACCTTTTTTTCTATTTATCACTAATTTGAATTTCTCCTTATTGATAATAGAGTGCCCATTCCTATGCCAAACCCCTTTTCAATGATTTTCTTTTTGCAAATTTAATAGTTTATTGATTGTGTAATTTCACTCGTATTATATCTTTCTTTCTCAGCGATTCAGTATGGTGTTGACGATCAGCAAAAAACTCTCAGTTTTTCTCCGTTAGTTGGCTTCCTATAAAACATATCTTCTTCAAGGCCACTCAAGATTCCTTCCTCTAGAACGTTTCGTATACTGTGATTCGCTTTTCAGCTTCCGTTGAGGTCGTGGTGCAGAGGTCATTTTGTCGTTTTCCGGACTCTGGGATATTAGGCCCCAAACACCCATTCATGGACTAGCACCCTTTTCTTTTTGTTGCGTAACTTAAGTTTAGTTATTTTGGGTGCTACGTCTTCGATTTTTTTTATGGGATTTTGACCCTCAGCGGTAAGTTATTTTTTATATACCTTCGGACAACGTGCTTTAATGCGTGTCGTGATGACGTTCATCCCATATCTGCTTTCTTTTTGTCGATAGAAACAGAAGAAAATCCCCGTCTTTTCTCCTCCAGTCAGTTGCATCGTTGCAGTTTTGCAAATTGGAAGCCATCCCCTTGAAAAAAACCCTGATGTGAACAGGTAAAATATCATTCTAATTAACAATTTTATAGATCTTTATACATTTATTATTGCTTATTGAAATTCTTAGAGATTTCTCGATTTTATTAGACATTCTACGTATTTAGGCCGCAGTAGTAGACTCTTCGGTCTCCTGATCAGTCGCCGTGCGCTGTGCGGCTTCGAGTCCCGTTCCAGGAGACATTTTTCTCTTGGCTATGGATGTTGTGATTGTCCGTAGGTGGTAGATGGTCTGTGACTGTCGAACGTGGAGGTACCACCCGGCGGATCTCGTAGGCGGAGCCAGAATGTGTGCATGTTGCATGCACACGTGTTCCCTCGCCAGAGTCCGTGTGGCGTCCCCCCTTTCCCCTGTATCCCCCTATAGCCCCACGGTATCCAATGGGTGTTTAGGCGTTAGGCCTTCGTGGTAGTTGGAATATAAAAAAAATTCAAATATGGGGGCAATGCCTACATGGCACCTTCTAATGCATTGGTCATTATTTTGATTTTTGAGCTGCCATAACTTTTTAGAACACGGGTATATTAGTTTAGTACATTTTAATCTTTTTTTTGCCTTTGCTTTACTTTTATTATACGAAAAAAATGTACATGGTTTCGCTTCAAGTGCGATTGTTTTCAAAGAGTAGTTTTATCTGACAGAGAGTAGAGTAGATTTTTAAACAGTCTTTCTCTCTCTAGGGTTTTTTTCTTGTGACCATCATAATTTTTGGGACCGAGGCAAGCAGCCCCTGCCCAGTGACGTGCCCACTACTGGCTTCCTTTTTTTTGTTCTTTTTGACCTGTGATACATCTCGGTTGCGCCTAGCCGTAACTGAGAGAAGACCTACGCCCAGATAAGTGTAGTTTAGGCGTAAAACATATATGTAAAGCGTAAACCATGGTAAGCGCCAGCTAATTTTATTTTGCCACAGTTTTTCTTTTTGGTAATATCCTTTCTCGCACTGCAGTGGTGGAGCACATTTGCGTTTTGTTCTTTTTAATCAATATATTGTGATCCATTTGATATCTTGTTTATTTGGCTCTCTCTCTCTGTGTGTACTGTTATTTAAATTTCGTCATCTCTGTTAGATTCTCCTTTTGTGTCAAGGTCAAGGAAAGCAAGTTCCGACTAGTATCTCGGGGAGTTGTGGCTCAATCCGTCCTAAGTCACTGGCACTTAACCCGCCCCTACTCTTCGCTTTATTGAGCTAGGGCCTGAATTTGCACGCCACTAGACAACTGTTTTGCTTGGACCAACCGTTAGATAGCATTTATCATTGAGTTTTATTATTTAACCAAAAAAAGTTTAATAAAAAAGTTACCCAGAATTTATTTGGAAATGAGAGTCCTTTGCATTCACTCTAAATATTTAAATCCTTCCGTACAATTTCTTTTACAACAGGGTTTATATTTGGCTAGTTAGCCTGATCAAATGAGTTTTATGGCATTTCTAGATAACTTATTTCAGCAGCAGCTTCCTGATTTTTCAAAGCAGATTCCACTCGACATATTTTCGAATTGCACACTTCGTGTTGCTCGTGTTGTGTTTGGAGTGAATGATTAGAATTTGAAAAAGCAGTTTTGCCGGATTTCATAATATTTGAATCCTTCAATCCTGTGATGCTTTCCAAGTTATAGAAAGACCAATGATTAGATTAATTTTTTTTGACGGTAACTCTACCGCAACAGGACCGATTAAAAAAACCAGAAATATTTTTGTCTGTAATAGAGGACAAAGGATTACCTGATGAAAGTCAGACACAATATGTTATCTGAAAATGATTTTTCCATTTGAAGTTTTTCCGCAATTACAGCAGTTACCTGGCCTACTGAAAAAATCAGCACTCTGTTTGAATTTCGAGGGATATGTACGCCCAAAAACCAGGTATATAAAATTAACAAACAATTGTCATTTATCATCTCAAGTGTTGCCTTCAAGTAATGCAAACGACTAAATTGCTTGAAAGTTTAAAAAAGTATGATGAAATGCAAATAGAAAGAAAAATATCAAATGTAGATATGATTTGTGGAACTTCCACCAACATTTTTTTTAAGATGCCCCTTCCGTTTTGAGCTGGGTACTCCCTTGAATATGGCGTCTAAAAGAAAAAAATAAACTTGATGATTGAGGACAAGATACGTCGTATGGGAATTCTTGTACTTCCCACGTCTAATGAGAATGAAACATCAACACAGCAGCTTCGGCGTTTAGGACTTCGACCGCGTCCTTTCTGCTTAAAGTTAGGAGTGACCGACCTGTATAAGGTGGAATTCCGAAACTTAAGCTTAACAATAAGGTACCATCAGATGGAGCGGCTAGAATGTGAGCGTGTCATATGCACATTTGTTCCCCCAGTAAAGACGATGTGTTGCTCCCCTTCTCCATATAAGTTTCAATTCCTGGAGACAACTGCTATACATATATTTATTGCTAAAATACAACTCCAATACAATAAATGGTATTTTAATACATTGCAAGTGTGCGGCAAGCATCCCTTTGAAGAACCATTGTGACGTCTCTTGCTTTATTCCTACGCCATCAATATTTCCTGGATCTTTTCGAATACCATAGTTCGAGTATGAGTACGGAAGCAGCTAAGGCATATCCGACAAGCAGTAGAACAAATATTGTCTTGATTTCTTCAAATCTTATTTCCGTATCCTTTATAGCTTCCTTTCTGTCAACCAATCCTTGACTGATATCGTGCAGATTCAAGTAATTCGTCCATTTTTCAATAAACCCAGCATCTATGATTCTCTTTAGATTCTTAACAAACACTTCAGACTGAAGGAATCCTTTTCTCATCCATATTAACACGTCAGCACCCTGTCCATTGGTGTTTTTGATACACTTTATTTTGCTTTTAATGCTTCTCAGTCTCTCATCATTCATCATACAATAGCTCAATTGGGTGTCAGGTAAGCAAAACGAAATATGATTTTTTGTGACATTCAATAATGTTTCTGTTACGTCTTTTGAATATATAAATTTTCTTTTGATCGTTTTAATAGGTACTCCATACAAATATTGTTCATCACTCTCATTTTTCTTATAAAGTAAAGACTGTAAAGCGAAATGTGTAGCTAAATCATATTTGTATATCATCTAGAGTGTTGTACCTTTCGGTTTTGTATAGGCTGGTTAGAATGCTTGTAACTGCGTCACCAAGAATAATGCCTATGTACATTCCCAACAATAAAATTAAACTAAAGAAGTATCTGCCATACCATGTCTTTGGTTGTCGATTTTGAGCAACCAGGAATATTGCTGCAAAGTAAGCGAACATTATATTATGCAAATACTTGAAGTAACTGTCTTGGGAACGGCTAACAAACCAAGTGCAGATGGTCAGAGATAAATATAACATCAACACATAGATCCAAACATCGTTCCAGATGTAACCTGCCAAAGCACTTCCCATTCGGTCTGGTACACGAGGTACACACCAAACAGGTTGATATTTCAAATTGATTGTTTGACTACAGTCAAAAGGAATGCATCTACTTTCTTTCCTTACTAAACGTCCAATCGCGAAGTCTATTTCATGGTTCTCCAATTTGTTCATCAAAGCTTCTACCTGTTTCCCTCCTGCGTCACCAACCGTCATGCTATCATTGAAATTAAGTTGGAATCCAAGTTTCTCACTTAGTAAACTTAAAAGGTCAACTTCGATTCCTGTAAGGGTTTGATTTATCTCTATAACATGAGGAGGAGATATCTTATAGCCCACATTCAAGGTACATTTGTTAAACATCCTTCTTGTACTGATAATCTTCTCAATTGTTGCCATATTGCCAAAGCTGCAACTATTCACTTTTTGCACCTTTATGGACTTTAAGCAAGGCCCTTTTTTTGATGACCAACTGTATATATTGAATGTTGTGATATTGCTAGGTTCAGGAAGCAAAATCATAGTATTTAACAAGCGTCTCGCCAAAGTCACATTAAAAATATGTCTTGCTAGTCTATCTGGTTTCGAAGATGCATTAGTACATATCACAATGACAGTTGGATTGCTGGTGTCAAATGGATGAAAAAACATATCGTTATTTTTTAAATCTTCTTCATGTTCGATATGTATAATCAAAGTATCTGGAAAGCTGCCGGCAAAATTTTCATATCTCTTACCAGCTTCGCTCAAAATATTGTTATGAATCAACTTACGTTGGGATCCCAAAGCTTTGAGAAAAAAGTCAACAATGTGTATGCTCTCATCCTCACTTGTTATGAATTCAGAGAACAAAATGTTGCTTCCAAGTTGGAACTGCTTTGGGTTACCAGCGATACAACTGCTCAGGGAATGGGTTATTAAGTCACTTATAGTCGCATTCAGCCTGAAGTCGTGGATATTCAGAGCAATAGCTGCATAGTTAGCACTCAAGAAGATGCAGTAGATTAGCACACTTCTTACCTCCATCGTGGCTGTAAGCTTTTTGAAACGCCGCAATCAATTGTAACAAGTCCAAGCTCAAACAGAAAGACTTTTAGAAACAGTCATTATCGCGTCCGCTGTGATCCATATCAGAAGTCCAAATCTACGAACTCACATTTAGCGCAGCTCCTCAGTTTTCAACAGTCAAAGTGCTTGGTGTTCAATATCACTGATAAACAAATTCAGACTAAGTAAAAGAAGCAAAACAGACGATCGACCGTGTTCTAGTCAATAGACAGGATGCGAGCGAATCCTAAAAGTCATACAGTTTGACAGCTGTTGACACTGCATAAAATTTGTATATTTCTACGAAAACATATAAAAGTACGAGGGTTTCAGAAAATTGCCAGAAATAGTGCAGGTCGCGAGGATTGCAAAAAACTGTTTATCTAAAATAAAATATATACTTTTTTAAGTATTAACATAGGATGGCCATCGGTGTTGCATGTATTCCTATTTTTTTTTGACGCCGAATGCTAGGATTGTTGATAAAATTCCATATAGCGTATGAACATAGAAAAATGCAAAATCTGGGAGAAAATGCAGAATTTATCATAAATACTAAAAATACAATACCCGACTAGAACTTTAAATTTGAGCCTCATCAACGTTTATTTATCTTATTAATTAAACCACTTTTAAGTCTGATTATTTGATCAGTATGACGGCAATGACATAATAGCACTAATTGCCAAATAATGTTCAACTTTTTATTTGTTATATGTAAATGTGAATGTCTGTTCATCACGTCTGAACCACAATACGGTAAAGTTCTTATCTCTTACCAACCGCACTCAAGATATTATTATGAATCAACTTGCTATGGTGGAATCACAAAGCTTTGAGGAAAAATCAACGAAGAACAAGCTGCGACCGTCATTTGTGATGAATTTGGAGAATAAAATGTTGCTTCCAAGTTGTAATAGTTTACAGCGATCAACGAATTTGAATATATTAGGAGCCAGTTTACATTGCATTGTTTGTTGCCAAAATTGCTCAGCTTCAATGCATACTTTTCACTAATTTGCCCACCATTCGTATTTGAACACTTTTGAGAGGAGAAAAATACGAAAAATTGATAATTCATGGTGACATACCTAATATTCAAGATTGATAAATATTCTGGAGAGATAAAAAGTTAATGTTATATATATATATTTTATGACTTTCTTGGAATTACCGTCATCTCGGTGTCCAAATTTTCTGTGTATTTATTGTATTCAAAGTTAAAGATTTACGTACTCAATTATTAACATAAAATTACTGTAAATAAGAATATAAATACACTATTATTTTCACCGAAATGCAATTCGCTATCCTCAACTGAGCAGTAAATGGCTAAACATGGTTACCAATAACAATACTCACAAACATTTATAAATTTGAAAATTAACTTAGTTTATGTGTGCTCACATTCAATAGAAATGTATCACATAATAAATCCAAGGGCTAACTTATCAAAATTTAAACAGCACAAAGTATTATTTTTCTGTTTAGTGTTATTTGGCACAAAATGATGTGAGGATATCCTTGGCCACATGCGTGTTTTTGTTTGTCAAAGGGTTTAAGCCATAGTTTAAGTTTCTCGACGTTCGTCAGGAAAGCTGAAAATAAATATCTAGGTGCATATTGTAAACTAATTACAGCTATAAATAATTATGCCGTTAAGATTTAAGGATTAAAGACTGTCCTAAGAACCTCTAAATGAAACTATAACTATAACTATAAATTTTGTTAGCAAGCATCATATGGGACTTAGCACTTCAGCGATGGAATGAAGAAAATTTTTAATTCTTAATAAATTCCCAGGTGAAGGCACAACTTTCAGGTAAATGCCCTTTCGCAATAACAATGGATATCCTAAATCAGTACTTACTAGGAATATCTACCTTATTAGGCTTGTGCCACTGCTTGTAAAGTATACAATGAGTAACCATGTCGTGAAGTTGTCTAACAGCAGAATTATCTGAAAAGGCTCGTACTTTTAAAAAATAACAGTGAAAATACGAATTTGATGACAGAACTGCCACTGGCAGTATACGCTTTCATCCTGGCTACAGCCTATAAGATTCTAAAGACACAGCAATCGTTGGCTTGCTTTTTCAGCTTAGTCTGAGTTTGTTGATAGCGACACAATTGCTCAGAAAATGTCTTATTAAGTCAGAAATAATTACATTCAGGTTACACAATAGCTACAGAATTAACACTCGGGAATATACAGCATACTAGCGCAATGCTTATCATTATCATAGCTGAAAGCAGTAATGCGTTACTAAATTTCGTGTGCATTATTTCTTTCAATAATTCGTTTTTTAAAGCTTTTAAGCTTGAAAGATTTTTTAGTTCTGCTATATTACTGCAATTATTTAAAGAAAAACATTATGGCACCGTAACTAACGTTCAATATTCCTTTTATTCCCCTTTGTTTCAAGGGAATATATAAAAATTGCCTACGTTTCAGATGTCGTTGCTGTTTTTTTCATGCTGAATGAATAGTATTCAGTACTAGTTTTTATTAGAAGCTTAAGTAGTTGTTGAAGATGAATTATCAAACAGATTCGTGCGTCTGTATATTCTCATGGCGACGGATGATTTGGATCTTAGGGGCTGAATAGAGTAGGTGACCTGCCTGCACTAAATTTACTCCAAACTAAACAAATTTTAAATTTTTTTCTGTTACATGCAATCAACGAATTCGAATAGATTATGTTTGGACTGCATTGTTTGTAGCCAAAATTGTGCAGTCTTAGTGGAAACTTTTGGCTAATTTGTCTACCAAAAAAGTGAAAAACCGACACGTCAGCGCACAATATTAATAATAATAAATGGCCTTTATTTTACCTGGCGGGTTACATCAGCACAAGCTGTTTTTCAGAACCAACCAGGGCAAAAGAAAATTCAAGTACATGCAAATACAAAAAACTACACAGAAGATAAGAAATTTTTTTTTTACAGAATCATAGCCTATAATAATAATATAATATTTATTTACTCAATGTACAAAGATAACAAACAATATGAGTAAATAAATATAAAATCAAAACAGGCCCAATAGAAGGCATCGCCTGTACATGGACCAATAATTTAAGTTGAAACTGTAGAATGCAAATGACAAAAAAGGACAAAAATTAGCTACAGTAGATTATGTATTTAGTTGATGTTCGTATTTATGAGTTTATGAATTTCAGTCCTAGATATAGAATGTAGCCACTTTTTTAAATTTCTTTTGAAACAATTTCCGAAACGTAAATCTTTTAAGTCTTTAGGTATAATTTCATAAAATTTAGGCGCTAAATAGAGATATGATCGCTGCATTATAGATTTATGCGGTTGAGGAACTACTGTGCCACGAATTTTGTACCTGGTATAATGATTATGTTTAATTTTTTGGTCGGTGTTTACAAATTTATGGTAGTGAGTGATACTGTGTAAGAAATAAAGCTGTCTTATATCATACATTCGAACATCTGCATATAATTTTTCAGTGGGATAAAGTTTCGGTTTTTTAAATATCATTTTTAGAATACTTTTTTGAAAAACATCTAAATTATAGATATGTGAGGAACATGCAGCTCCCCATGCTAATATACCATATGTGAGATGAGGCTCAATCAGTGTATGGTATAATGTTTGAAGATATTTTTCTGTCAATATACTCCCAAGGTATTTAATTTTGTAGGATACAAATCTAACTTTCTTTAAAATATAATTGACATGGATGTCCCATCGTAATTGAGGATCCAAGACCACTCCAAGGTATTTTATGTTGGGCACTCTATTAATTTGCATTTTTTGATCATTAATATTGAAGGAGAAATTTGTGTAATTTGGCAGATGTCTAGCATAAGATCCAAATGGTAAAAAATGTGTTTTAGAGTAGTTAATGTTTAATTTTCTACTGTTAAACCACCGAATAATTTTGATAAAATCATTTTCAATTACATTTTTCAGATCAGACCAGTCAGTGCCTTCATATAATATTGCAGTATCATCTGCAAAACTAGTTATTTTGCCAACACAATTAATTTGGAAAATATCATTTAAATATATATTGAATAACAGCGGACCTAAGACAGTTCCTTGTGGGACACCACACTTAATATACATTTCTTTACTAAATGATCCTGATATCTGCACAGATTGTGGGCGATTTGACAAATAACTTTCGATCAGTGAGTACGCGTTTTCTCTGAAACCAATTCTCTCCAATGCTTCTAATGATAATTTGTGATTAACTGTGTCGAAAGCTTTCTTTAAATCAACAAAAATGCAGATTGAAGGGATTCTGTTATCAATATTTTGATATATTTGATTTACAATTTTAGTTATTGCGTCCGATGTAGCCTTCCCTTCTGTAAATCCATATTGATTTTCACTTAAAATTTTGAATTTTGTGAGGTATCGAATCATTCTAGTAGATAAAACTTTTTCAAAAACCTTTGCTACACTGGATATTATTGATATTGGTCTATAGTTGTTAACATCTGTTTTTGTTCCTGATTTATGTATCGGTATTATATTACCTTTTTTTAAAATTGAGGGATATATGCCAGATTCAAAGCATTTGTTGATTAGGTAAGTGAGTGGTTCTGTTATGTCCTCGGCTATAATTTTCAAATGCTCGCTTTTAATACCATCGAACCCATGACTTTTCCGATTTTTTAAGGACATAACAGTGGTGTATACTTCACATTGTTCGACTTTATCCAAAATAAATGAGTTCAAAGTTCTTTTTGGAGGCTGAGTATTTTGTACATTTGCTTGTATATTACTTGCTAAATTTTCGCCTATGTCAGTAAAGAATTGTACAAATTCATCGCATATCTGTTGAGTATTTTTTAATACTGTTCCCGATGTTGTATTTAACTCAGTGACACACTCTTTAAATTTTGTTTTCCCAGTAATCTCATCAATAGTTGTCCAAAGCCGCTTAGGATCATTTAAGTTATTATTCAATTTATTTAGGTAATGTTTTCGTTTGGTTT